TGTTTATAGCAAACATGACAAAACAGACACAGCATAATGACTACCTTACCCTTCCCCAACCACATCAACAAACAAACTACGGGCCGCGCACCCGTGACCTCAGGGTAAGTCAATTGGTAGGGTTCACCACCAAATAAAACAGGCTGCTCTTGTTACCCCTTTGCCACTACCCCTTTTTTAGTTGGTCCATTAGATTGGCAACAATCTGATATCCGTAGGGTCTTTTTCTTTTTTCTTGTTTTTCTGTGTCTTCAGGGGTTGGCCTGTTTTTCAGAGACAATGGTGGTGGTCCCACAAACACAGTCTGCGTGGTACCAGAGGCTTGTGATTGGCTGGGGCATTTGTCAATTTGCCACTCTGAAAGGGGTCAATCTTGTCAATATGTCACTTTGCAGGGTCCAATTTGTCACTTTGCAATCCAATTGTGTCATTATGTCGCTTTGGAAGGGTCAATTTTGTCAATTTGTCACTTTGCAGGGGCCATTTTTGTCAATTTGACACACTGCACACACAGGGGGTTGGACTTCAGAGGCTGTGTTTCGCAACTCTTGTGAAACTCGCCGACGTACCTAGTTTAGTTGGTACACCCATGAGCTGTTGAAATACAGACCCAAGTTCGAATCCAGGTGCAACCAGATGAACCTAACAAAAATAAAGAAGAAGAAGAAAAAAGTCTTGCGAATTGGCCATGATTCCATGCGTCTGTGGTGGGTGCCTTGAGCGGCTTGGGGGGCTTGCAGGTGCCTTGCGTGCCTTGGGTGCCTTCGGTGCCTTGGGTAGAGAGCCTCATGTGTGACATGCCTGCCAGTGATTGTCAAAGCCATCCGTTGCTTTGCCAGCCCTTCTTTTTCCCTTTCTTCTCCTGCTGCTGCTCCTCCTCCTACTCCTCCTCCTCCTTCTCCTCCTCTCCACCTCCACAGCGCTCTGCTTCTTGTCTGTGCAGTATCTCTTTTTTCTTTTCTTTATTTCTTTCCTTTATTTCTTTTCTTTCTTTTCTTTCTCTGTTTTTAATCTTTTTTCCTTTTTTTCCCTTTTTCCCCCTTTCTTTTCCCATTTTCTGTCCCATTTTCCCCATTTTTTCCATTTCCCCCCCCTTTTCCCTCCTTGTGTCAATCAAGCATTTTGCCTAAAGCCGTCCCACCAGTAGGTAAGATCGGGATCTTGACCAGCCACAAAATTAAGGACGTCAACTGTAAATATATTGTATATTGCAAGGGACCCTTGGGGCCTCTCTTTTTTTTTTATTGCTATTTATCACTACTTCCTTTCCTTAAGTTGTCATTTTTTGTGGTATAGTCACTAGAGTGTTTTGTTTTTTTTTTAAATAACTTTTTTGAAGCTTTTTTAATGATGAAAGGGGCGACGTCGGATACTGTGCGTAGATAATAAAAATCGGAGGCCAGTAGCTCTTTCTTCTTCTTTTTTTTTTGGGGGGGGGGGGGGGGGCGCTAATTCCCCTTAAACAGCGATTTCGTTAAAATAGACGTTTTACTAGGCTACCAGAGTGGCCTGGGACCACTTGCCCGGCCTGGCCAAAAAAAATAAAAGATTTTTTAATTTTAATTTTATTTTAAATTTGGTAAAGAATTTCGATGTGACCCTGAGGCAAAAGTTATTCAGTTTAATTTTCTGCATAACACAACTTTTTTTTTTGCTCGGACCTCTTTTGGTCCTTGCACGGCCGGGCCACCCGGGCAAACAAGGTGACCGGGGCGGCCCGGCTTATAGCCTAGACGTTTTATATTTTTTGAACGAAATTGAAACCGACTTATTTGGCCCAAAAAATGTAAAAAAAAAATCATCTCCTGAGGGTCCGACGTTCTTAAGATGCCTGACCCACGGGATGTATCTGGACTTGAGCTGAGTCCTGATGCATCCAGGGGGTCCTGCGTTTTAAGAACGCCTGACCCTCAGGAACCACAAATTTTGACATTTTCTGGGCCAAATAAGCCGGTTTCAATTTCGTTCAAAACAAAACAAAAAAAACAAAAAAACAAAAAGTCCATTTTAACGACATGGCTGTGTTTGTGATCCGTTCGTACACGTAGGACCTCGCCAGTGGAGTCACACAGCAATGTGACAAATTGACAAAACAGTCCAAACATATATTATTTTAAAATACGTAGTTTTTTTTAATTAAAAAAAAAAAAAAAAAACGTACTTTTACACTGAACATGTGCTAATAATATAATCGTTAAATAACAAGAAGAAGAAAATCAGCATACACGGTATTTAACAACAATTAAAATTTGAAACTAAGAATTATATATATAACTGATTGACAGTAATAACGAGATCATCATTACCACAACCATTATTTCCACTTTACACTCTTTTCTTCTCATGAGCAAAAAGTAAAAATGGCATTCAATTTTGAAAAAAAATCACCCTGAGGAAAACTGCGTTATTCTTGTTGCTTCCGCAGCCACGTGGTTGACAGCCCACTTGTAATCGCACTTCGCGGTGAAGAGGGAGCCCCATTGTGGTCCCCACCACGAGAAGGTATTGAACGACTGTCTCTGTGAGTGGGTGTGCGCGAGCGCATAGGTAGATCAAGGCGGTGAAGAGGGAGCCCCATTGTGGTCACCACCAGGAGACCCATTCGCACATAAAGTAGGTAAGGTGGGGGGGAGGGATGCGCCACGTGGTTGAGAGCACACTTGTAATCGCACTTCGCGACCCGTACAATAAGCAGCAGCAGCAGCAGCAGAAGAAGAAGAAGAAGAAGAAGAAGAAGAAGAAGAAGAAGAAGAAGAAGAAGAAGAAGAAGAAGACGCAGCAGCAGCAGCAGCAGCAGCAGCACCAGAAGAAGAACAACAAGAAGAAGAAGAAGAAGAAGAAGAAGAAGAAGAAGAAGATGATGATGATTAAAAGAAGAAGCAGAAGAAGAAGAAGACGCAGCAGCAGCAGCAGAAGAAGAAGAAGAAGAAGAAGAAGAAGAAGATGATTAAAAGAAGAAGCAGAAGAAGAAGTAGAAGAAGAAGAAGAAGAAGAAGCAGAAGAAGTAGAAGAAGAAGAAGAAGAAGAAGCAGAAGAAGAAGAAGCAGAAGAAGAAGACGCAGCAGCAGCAGAAGAAGAAGAAGAAGAAGAACAACAACAACAACAACAACAAGAATTGTGATAAGCAATGGCCAGAGATGCCTTCCGTAAAAGAAGAAGAAGAATTGTGATAAGCAATGGCCAGAGATGCATTCCGTACATGCTTCACAAGACCACGACACAACCAGAAGCAGCAGCAGCAGAAAAAGAAGAAGAAGAAGAAGAAGAGGGAAGCAATGAAGAATCAGGAGGCGCCAGGTGGCAGCGCATTGCACTAAGGGAGGGTGGTAGAAAAGGGCACCTTCGAGATGCTCTCCCCTCGTTCGACAACGGAAAGAAAAAAAAAGGGAGAGCACGTGGAAGAGGAGGAGCAGGAGGAGGAGCAGGAGGAGGAGGAGAACCTGAGACACAGAACACAACGATGATCCAAAAGGAGGCGGCCCCTCGTGGCAGCTTATTCTCACCTTGTTCGACAACGGAAAGAAAAAAAAAAAGAAAAAAAAAGAGAGAGAGAGAGAGAGCAGCTGGAAGAGGAGCAGGAGGAGGAGGAGAACTTGGGACACAGAAGACGCCGATGATCGGGAAGGAAGAGGCCCCTCGTGGCAGCTTATTTTAGTACGAAAGGATTAGGGGGGTTAGGTAGGAGGGGCGAAGGAATTAGAGAAGTCATCTACCTATCGGGGAGAAATAATTGCGGAGGTGGTTGATTGATTGATATTGCATGATTGGTTGATTGATATTGCATGATTGGTTGATTGATGATCGGTTGATGGGATTGATTGATTGATCGGATTGATTGATTGGTTGATTGGTTGATCGATTGATTGATTGCTTTATTGATTGATTGATTGATTGGTTGGTTGGTTGATTGGTTGATTGGTTGGTTGATTGGTTGATTGGTTGGTTGATTGGTTGATCGGTTAGTTGGTTGATCGGTTGATTGGTTGATTCGTTGATTGGTTGATTGGGTGATCGTTTGATCTAATCATTCATTGATTGACTGATTGATTGATTCCTGACGGATGGATGGATTGACAGAAAGATACGCAAATAGAAAAAGAGACAGGTAGGTACATAGGTGTGTGTAGGTAGAAGTACGTGCACAGCTAGATAGCTATATGCCCTTCCCAATTCCTTTCCCCGTACCCCTACTAATCCTGTCCTACTCTCATGGCGTTGTCACAGCACGGCATCGTCTTCTCAATCGCCTTGTCCCCTGTGTCAACGTTCTTCTCTCTCTCTCTCTCTCTCTCTCTCTCTCTCTCTCTCTCTCTCTCTCTCTCTCTCTCTCTCTCTCTCTCTCTCTCTCTNCACACACACACACACACACACACACACACACATACACACACACACACACACACACACACACACACACACACAGAGTCACACGCATGCACTTTCGCACACGCGCACACATACACACATACACAAATACACACACGTGTCTCGATCTCGAACAATAAGTATCTTCATGATGATGACGATCTCGGAACGGAGATCTTGGTCGCTATGACGATTGATCTTGATTGAATTCAAGATGCATCCCTATTTGGGAGGGGGATAAACAGATAGAAGATAGAAATATGTATGTATACACATATAAACAGACAGTAGATAGGTATATCTCGATGGGTAAAATATAACTTTTAGACTTTTTTTTTTTTTTTTTCATAATTTTGAAAGGACGACAGCCTTGAGTTATCATCATCGAACTGACCGGCTCTAGGTCATTCGGAACTGTTTTTTTTTTTTTTTCATACTTTTGAAAGGACGACAGCCTGTAGTATTGTAGTATTTAATCATCTGCTTCCGTGGAGTTCGAACTCAGCAACTCAGCAACTGATTTGTATTTCAACAGTTCAGTTCAGGGGTGTACCAACTAAGCTAGTAGGCCAGTTGGTAACTTGCTTTTTTTTTGGAAAAAGAAAAACAGAAAACATGAGAGGAGGTGAACTTACCGTGACTGAGCATGTTGGCGTCCAATTCATAGCGCCTCTCTCTCTCTCTCTCTCTCTCTCTCTCTCTCTCTCTCTCTCTCTCTCTCTCTCTCTCCCCGCCCTTCAACGTCCCGTGCTCTCTCTCTCTCTCTCTCTCTCTCTCTCTCTCTCTCTCTCTCTCTCTCTTCTCGCACCGTGCATTCACTTACAGGAGCACGATTGTGTGCGCGCGTACGCTACCGGTAGGTTGTCCACTACCGGTCCAGGCAGCGAGCAACGCGGACGAGAAGCGGGGAAAAAATTCGAACAGAAGCCGACGCCCTTGTGGACACGGCATCGTCATTGCATACAGAGCGTGGGCTGTTTCGATTTGACCGTGGGAATATAGGATTCACGTAGAGCTGCATCTGTAGTGGTGTTTGTTTGTTTGTTTGTTTGTTTGTTTGTTTTTTATGGTAGTGTAGTATTGTGAGTTTGCAGATTTCTTTTTTGTATTTTAGTGTTTCATTAGACAAAAAAAAAAACACTCTGGTCAAGCCCATGGTCCAGATGAAAAGGAAAGGAAAAAAAAGCAAAATTGCATCTGCAGACTCTATGCCCCATTTGTTGAAGATGGGAATTCCCTTTATACCCAGTCCCAGCACCCAACTTGCATCTATACCCAAACCGTCTCCAACTTAAGGTAATACCCTACTTTTTCCATGCCCTGGTCCCACAGGGCCTACCTGTACCTGGTCCCACAGGGCCTCCTACATTATGCTAATGCCCAGAAAACGGGCAGTCAAATGGAGTATGCGAGTAGCAGACCGCCATGCCGTAGACACCGGTATCGAACCCGACGATGCCCTAATTGAAAAAAAAAAAAAAAAAAAAAAAAAAGAAAGTCTCGGTGTGGCTGCGTCCGTAGTTGAAGATTCAGGTAGTTGGGTATAACCCCAAGCAATTCGGGGGTACCAACCTTGGCTCATCGCAGTCCCACCTGTTGACATGATTTCCACAGGCCATTTCCTGGCTATAGACGCAAGTTGGGCACTGGGACTGGGCCTGCGTATATAAACGGAATGCCCATCCTTTTTTATTTTTTTTTTAACAACAAAGCTCCATTCTATTGGTGGGGAGCATCACCTGCTGGAAACCGGGTCCAGCGTCCCTAACAATGAAATGTACAACCACATACAGCACATACTGGGAACCGGGCCCAGCGTCCCTTATGATCTGTGCCAATGGGATTATACCATGACAATGGAACTAAAGAACCCGGTTGTGGGGGGAAGGGATCTGGGAATTCTGTCACATGCCTCATTGGAACACTTGGATCTAACACTGCCCATTCTTCAAATTCCAAGTACCAAATCTTCTTTTCATCAATAATTTCTTCCTTCTCACCTTCTCTCTCACCTTCTTTCCATTTGACCTGGCCAATTTTTCCTCCTTGTGGGCCCCCAAGCCAACTGCAGCTGAAATCTTGGATATTCTTCCTGATTTCAATCTCTGAGTGAATATGTTGATTTTTTTTTTTGGCCTTGTCCCATTGTGCTCTTATAACTGTTTGGATTTATTGTCTAATAGAGTCAGTAAACTCAGGGCCATCCAACCTTACTCCTTCCATCTCATAGGTACATCTTCTCCTCCAAATGGCCCAAAGCACCGCTCTTCGCCCACTCATGAATAAATTATGTGTAAACTCATCATATGGCTCTGGTATCCATGATTCCAACAATAAAGCTCTCCATTCCCAGGGCCACTGCCAACATGTTCCCAACGTGCTCCAAATTCGATCCCAACATCTCCATAACCAAATAGACCCTGGGCATTGTAGGAAAATATGTTCAATTGTTTCTGGGATTATTCTTACCGGAAATGCAGTCTTACAAAACTGGCACCAGGGAAGAGCAATCCCCTTCTGTTCCAGAGTAGTTCTACTAATCAACCAGTCATTTGTAGGAAGACAACGATGTTCTATCTGCCATTGTAAGGAAGCTACTTTAGTTGGTTTAGATTTCATATTCCGGAACCATTTAATTGGTTTGAGTACTTCCTTGCTTAGATTCAATTGTTTCATCCCTTTGTCCCCTACTCTATCTTTTATATTTACTTTAGGTCTTAGCATCCTATATGTTGATTTAACCGACAGGGTGTGAAGCATCCTTTTGTATTTGTGACCTCTCCTTCCTGTTGAGGACCAGACCCAATTGTCAGGATCCAGTGCAAGGCATTGGATTGGTGTATTAGGTTTGAATGCCAACCATGTAGTGTTATACTTCAGGACTCTGATTCTGAAGACTTGACCTCTATCAACCCATCTAGTCTCCTCCTCTGAGTTAGGAGTGATTGTATGATCGTGCGCTAATCCATGAAGCGTCAATAAAACTCTACCATTGGTGTTAATCTGCAAAACATTCCCAATTAGACTAGAATGATCTACTATGGCTACCCAATCGCCTTCTTTTAATTTAGGTCCTTTTCTGAGGATCCTAAGCCAGTCTAATGGAATTAATTCAACAATTTGTTCCAGTGCTTCTCCTGAATGATGACAGTAACACAGTTGCCTTTGTAATTCAACCGAGGAGATTCAGTCTCTGGTATCTACATTCCAGATATCTTTAATACGCATGATACCCTTCTTAATCCAACTTTTCCATGGTGAGTCCATACAATCAAGCACATAACCTTGTGAATCTCTAACCGGGTACAGATGCAATTTTTCCCAAAAAAAAATGGTCCCAGATTAATGAGGGTGGGGACTTCACAATTCCACCCGCTAGAGAAATACGGGGGTCTTTACCCAACTTGGGCTTGTGCTGGAAATCTGGTCGAGCCTGCCTTCAACAGAAAACCAGCATCAACTCTCCAAAAAATCCAACAACTACAAACCCTATTCCAATGCAGACGGAAGGATAAAGCTCCGATAAACATTATGAGTCTCTCTGCACTACTCTCCACTCTCCGATTTCCGAGAGTCTTTCATGGCTGCAATAACTATCCGATTCCGCCACCCAAAAACCCTCGGACACCTGTAAAAAACCACCATAGAAAAGCACTCTCCGTTGGCAGAGAGTGCCCAGCCTGCAAAATTCGTAACGCGGATAGACCTTTGAGGAACTCACTGTAGGACCTCTTATTTGGAGAGTGTACCTGGAGTCCGGCCGGACAAAACAGTGATGACGCCGTGTCTTCATCTGCTGTCACTATGTTTGCTAGTGGACTCAGGAATCGGAGAGTAGGAGACTGGAGAGTAAGTGCAACGGTGACCCAAAAAAACCCTATTTCCGACAGTTTGACAACTCTCTGCCTACTATCCGAATTTCCAAACAGTGGAGAGTAGTAGTGCAGCAAGACCCTATATCTCACAACAGAGAAACACCAGCCTACACCGAGAAAGGAAAAACCGCCACAAGCAAGCGCATACCAACTGGCCTAGCTCAGCTGGTACACCACTGAACTATTGAAATGCAGACCTGAGTTTGAACTTTGCTGGAAGCATATGAGTAAAATACTGCAATTCTGAATTACAGAAGGCCGGTCAGTTGCATGATGATATCTCAAAGCCTTGGCCCTTAATAAAGGACAATAAGGAAGAAGGAAGGTGGGAGGGGAAGGGGGGGAAACTAGGGCACTGTCACGGTTTCAATTTGAACAGTCATCATTTGGCATATGTTGTGCCAAATCGAGGAGAATCATGAATGTATACAACCTAGCTTTAGGTTTGGGTGGGGATGTGTTGTGACACCCCAACCTCATGCCCCGGCGCGACTTCCTGATCTGAGTGATGGTGGGCCTGGAAGTGCGCAAAAAGGGGTGTGCCAAGGATTTTAGGAAAATGGGGGTGGAGTCCCAGGTCGGAAATAAGATCTCTTGTGTCATGTTTCAGGGATATGAACGCAAGCAAGTGAGCGACGGACGGGGTTCTGTTTTAGGCCCCGGGGAACGGGGCAGTCACCTCCGTTGGTCCCGTCGTCAGGGGGGGATTTGTATTTTGTGTACCATCGGGACACTGTGGCTGTCCCGTTGGTGCAGCACCCGTCGTCGGCGGGTTTCGCAGATCTTGGAATCGGACGTGGTCGGCCTCAGCCGAAGGCTGTGCTCTCGTTGTTCGGCTTCCGAGCGGGTTTCGTCGGATAACATTTGCACTTTGCCAAGAAGAGAATTACAGTTACACGTGACATTAAGGCGCAGAGAAGCCAGAGCACAGACCCTGACGCGGCAGAGCGCATGCAAGCAAGAAGCACCGTGCAGTTGCAGGCAAAATTACGATGCACCCAAATTCCTAGCCTAATTTAAGTCCTTATTGCAAAAAGAAATTTTGAGATCCTGCATAGGCTCGACATCAGTTGAAAATTCAAAAAGATTCCAAAAGACTCCCCCGTGCGACGATCGCGCCAAAATTCTCCACTCCTCACAGCAAAACAAGAAAGAAGCTATGACAATAGTTATTCTCCACGCTCGCTAAGGCGCAATCAACTACCAACCGTCATAGGACCGCCCTTTTTCTAAAAGATGAGGGCATTCGTGTAATTGGGTGGGCCCCTTCTCAATCAACCCCCAAAGTATCGTTGCGCTGAAAGTCACGCGCTTACGGAAAACAATTCATCATAGTGTTGTATTCAAGGGATGCCTGAACTGCAATTTAAACTGAAATCGCGACTGGGCCCTAATTACCCTTCCCAAAAAAGACCAGCCTACACCACCACAACAACTATCATGCCACCAGAGGAACAGACAGCGAGAAGGGGACACTAAGTTTTTGCAAGAAGGAAAGAAGACCCTGCCAATAGGTGGTAAAGGAAAGAGGAAAGAAAAGGAAAAGTTGGAAGAACAGCGAGAAGAAAACAGGGACGAGGAAGTGGCTGATGGGAAACAAAAACTCAGACACATCTTGGAAAAGGGACAAGGGCCGCAGTCACTAGCCAAAACGGGTGTCATGGTGGTACCAATGAGAAAGAGAGAAGGAAGATGGGAAGTGGGCTTGACCAGCCAGACACAGTCACAGCAGGGGGGAGTGACTCTACAAGGTTGGGTGCCTGAGGTCCTGCTGTGGCTATCCACCAGAGAAACGGCCTTCCAGATAGAGATGAAAGACTTCCTACGTCGTACTTACCAAACTAGAGCAAACGCGGCCAAGAGAGTCACATACGGTCAGCATGCTTTGGCAGATACGTTCTTGTACGTGTTGTTTGAACCGGGGAAGGAGGCTGGCCTGAGATGGTTCTCGCAAAATGCCTTATTAGACCTCCAACTCCAAAAAATCAAGAGCAACGAAAATTGGTCTGAGGGAGACGTCCGCGCAGCCCTTCTCAGAGTCCCGAAGGAAGGATACT